GCTTCTTGTCTATTTCTTTTGAGGAGGGAAGGAGGGAAGGAAGGAGGAGGAGGGAGGAGGAGGAAGGAGGAGGGAAGGGATGGATAGTGTTGTTGGCCTAAGACTACAGGTGTGGTACAGTGTGTTCTCCAGTCTGGATACAAAATTATCCTGCGAGTTTTTACGATGACAATTGACCCAAAAATCGTTCTGGCAGTTATAAGATGGCCACGGTCACCCTAACACTGGCAAACATCAGTATCAGGTGGCCACGGTCACCCTAACACTGGCAAACATCAGTATCAGGTAGTACGGTCACCCTAACACTGCAAACATCAGATCGTGGCCACGGTCACCCTAACACTGGCAAACATCAGTATCAGGCCACGGTCACCCTAACACTGGCACATCAGAATCAGGTGGCCACGATCACCCCAACACTGGCAAACATCAGTATCAGGTGCCACGGTCACCTAACACTGGCAAACATCAGTATCAGGTGGCCACGGTCACCTCTAACACTGGCAAACATCAGTATCAGGCGGCCATTGTCACCCTAACACTGGCAAACATCAGTATCGTGGCCGGTCACCTAACACTGGCAAACATCAGTATCAGTGGCGGTCACCTAACCGGCAACAATGGGGCCATTGTCACCAACACTGGCAAACATCAGTATCAGGTCGTCCAGCAACATCGTATCAGTGTTCAGGCGCATTGTCACCCTAACACTGGCAAACATCAGTATCAGGCCACGGTACCCTAACACTGGCAAACATCAGTATCAGGCCACGGTCACCCTAACACTGGCAAACATCAGTATCAGGTGGCCACGGTCACCCTAACACTGGCAAACATCAGTATCAGGTGGCCACGGTCACCCTAACACTGGCAAACATCAGTATCAGTGCACGGTCACCCTAACACTGGCAAACATCAGTATCAGGCGGCCATGGTCCGCCCTTCACCCCTTCTTCCTGGCAGGTCATTTAATCCTCAGAATGGCCACCACATCACGTACTTCTCTCGTTACTGAGTGAGCTGGACCATCCTTCTGTCGCTCATGTATTGATCACACACACACACACACACACACACACACACACACACACACACACACACTACCGTAAAGAGTGTTCGGATGACTATTAATCTATATAATATTTACAATAACTATAATAACACTAAGATAATCGTTCTAATTATCTTTCTTAATAATCATCAAAATTATTGTATTAGAAAACATCAAAATATTTATCGTATTATCAAACTCCTTTAAACTTTTCGTCTATAAAATTAATTCAAAATATAAATGGTAAATATATTAGTGATTCTTTTAATTAATTTTTATGGTAAGAAATAAAAGGAAAAAAAAATCAGTCCCGGAAAGAAAGTGAAACGTGGGTGTTGGTTCCCGTAGAGTTTACAAGGAGAAAGTCCACCTAGTAATAATTATACTTTCTAATAAGGCTATGATCCTGTCCTTTTATGTCAGGTAAACAAAGGTCAATTATATCAGTTTATTTGTTGTCTAATTGGTGGCCATACTAGTGGTTTATTTGTCGTTACACACATACAGTACACACAGGTAGACATTCTCATATCCACAAGCTAACAAACGCACACATCCATACGTTCACAAGCAAGTACATCAGATTCCTTCCCCTTTCCAGACCCATCCACCGCCCCTCCTCCTTAACATCCACCATCCAACTCCTCCACAATCACCATCCACCTCCACACCCACACCCACCCACACCCACCCACCCACCCCACTCTAAGAGATATAATCTGTAGAGTGTAAACGCAGTCTCTTGTTATAATGTCACATGATGAAGGAATTAATTAACTGTGAATGATCTCTACCTTCACGACACACACACACACACACACACACACACACACACACACACACACACACACACACACACACACACACACACACACACACACACACACACACCCCCTGGCTTCCACCGTCTAGTATGTGTGTTAATTAGTCGACTGGATAGACAATGGTTCTCACTGTTATGGTGGGTTCTGTGGTTCTTGGGGGGTTCAAACGGGGAGGAGAGGTGGAGGGTGAGGGAGGGAAAAGGAGAGGGGGAGGAGAGGAGAGGGAACATTTGGTAGAGGTAACATAATACTTGCTTAGGGAGGTGGGTTCACAGTCTTCTCAGTTCAAAGGTTCTCTCGGGTTCACGCTTAAGAGGTTCATAAGTGGTTCAATCTTCCCACAGAGGTCCACAGGAGGTTTAGGTTAACAAAGGATTTAAAAGACATGTCTCTTGCGTTAAGTTCCTGAGCTTCATTTGTACGCAGGCAGGAAGGAAGGAAGGAAGGAAGGAAGGAAGGAAGGAAGGAAGGAAGGAAGGAGAAAGACTTATGAAGACAAGTATGGAAAGAGACAGACAGGGAGGGAAGAAGGGTAGATGATGATGGAGAAGAGAAGAGAAGGAGAAGAGAAGAGAGTGGGGAGAGAGGGACGAAGGGGTAATAGGGAGAACAGATAATTGGAGGGAGAGAAGAGTAAAAGTGAAGGATAGAAGATAAGAGGAGGGGGGATAAATAGAAGGAGGAAGGTAAGAGGAGGGGGGGAGGGAAGAAGAGGGAGGGAGGGTAAGAGGGAGGGAGGGTAAGAAGAGGGAGGAGGGTAAGAGGGAGGGGAGGGTAAGAAGAGGGAGGGGAGGGTAAGAAGAGGGGGAGGGTAAGAGGAGGGGGAGGGTAAGAGGAGGGGAGGGAGGGAAGAGGAGGGGAGAATGGTCTCTTGAGAATAAACAATGAACAATACATACACAGTGCGCTCTCTCTCTCTCTCTCTCTCTCTCTCTCTCTCTCTCTCATCATTTCGTCATCTCTCTCTTCTTCCTCCCTCCTCCCCTTTCCTACTTTGCTCCTGTTTCTCCAATCTTCCTCACATCCTTACTTCCTCGTCCTTCTCCTCCTCGTCGTCCTCCTCCTCCTCCTGCTTCCTTCCTTCCTCCTCTCTCCTTCCTTGCTCCTGCTTCTCTTTCACGCCCTCTCTCTCCCCTCAGGCAGAACTTGCATTGATTTAAAAGCACACAAGACTTTTATGCCTGGTCCCTGGGTAGGAGTTTCTGGGTCGACCCTCACCTAACTTTCCCCCCGCGTTGACTGTCTGTCTCTCTGTCTGTCTCTCTGTCTGTCTGTCTCTCTGTCTATTTCTCTTTAGGGCTGTCATATGCCTGTCTGTTTCCCTCGAAGGCTGTCTCTGTCGGAATGACGAGAGTGAGCGTCTGTGTGTATGTCGGATTACCTACCTGTCAACACCTTCATCATGCTCAAAGTCTACACACACACACACACACACACACACACACACACACACACACACACTTAGCGTACAATATTCAATCGTATATCCATAATATTCTTAGCTCCACATTCCACAAACATACAGACCTCGGGCAATATTATAATGGTATCCTTCGTAAGGACTTAAGCACACTCAAACCAATAATGAGTTATAGATCCATAAAATAAGAGTGTGTTGTAGGAACTCTTTGCTCGGGTCTATAATCCGATGAGTCAATGATGAAGGGTGGGTGGGTGTCTGTGTGTGTGTGTGTGTGTGTGTGTGTGTGTGTGTGTCCGAAGGGGAGGGGGGGGTAAGCCCTAGGAGGTACCGACACTCACTCTACGTGTTGCACAGAGAGTGACGAAGCTTTACCAACAGAGGAGTATGTGTATAGGCAAGCAAACACTGATTAACCTAACCTAACCTAACCTAACCTACCATAACCCCCTCTGCAGTCACAGTTGCTGGCGCGCAACAAAACTCCTCACACTAAGGGCTGGAACGTGACGGACAGAACTGAAAATCGTCCGGTAGCAAGTCGATATCCTGTCGTTGTGAATGATAAATTGAGGTGTTTTCTCCTTAGGAATATAACAGCGGCCATCATCACCAGCGAGGAGAGATTCCGTCAAAATATCCAAGTTATCTATGAAGAATGAATGACTTTCTACGGAATAACATTTGAAGAAGAGATAAAACTTTTTCTTGAAGCTACAAACTTTCTCTTTCACTTTCTTTTACAAGTTTTTTGTTTTCTTAATTTCCTGTACTGAAGTACTTTCTTCTTAACTACGAGCAGGGAAGGGGGGGGGGGGCTGTTACTCAAGTGGATTATAAAATGTACCTTGTCAGAGAGAAGACTAATTAGTACAGGTATTAGTACAGGTAAAATAAGACTTATAAGAAAATCCTTCCTCTATACTTCTTCACAAAACACAAACTACTTTATCAGCGTTATGTCTTGTTTACGCATGAAGTATACGTGAGTTACCTGAGAGATTACACCACAATCCTCTGATAATCCACTGTTGTTGCGTCCGTGTACAGGTAAAGGTTGTAAATTTCCCACGAGTAAACTGTGCTGACTGGAGTTGTAACGAGTGACGCATGTTGCTGCTCTCTGATCCTGTGTGAGTGTGTGTGTGTGTGTGTGTGTGTGTGTGTGTGTGTGTGTATTGCTCCATAAACTTGATCACTAAAAATCGTCACTAGAAATATTATGAAGGTAAACTATATTAAAGTGACTAATGTAAATATTCTGACATACATGAAGGAAGGAAGGAAGGAAGGAAGGAAGGAAGTGTTTGTACTAACCAACAGAGTATAAAAAGTCTATTTACTATACGCAAAGTGATCAAAGTGTATTTACTTTTTTTATACAATTTTTCAACCACTCAAAGTAAACAAAACTTTCAATAGATTCAAAAATGTATTTATAATTTGGGGTATTTTTCCGTACCTTCAAACAGTACCAACTTTGTCCACTTCCAAAATTAATTCTCCCTTTAATTAATTCTGTTTTTAGTCGAAACTTTCCACTCAGATGGCAATTAATTACTCTCTGTCAAGCGCCCACCAATTATAAGGACACAGGATTAATTAGCCATGGTGTGTAGTTCAGTAGTTATTAATTAACCATTCGTGATTTCTTCAGTAACCATTAATTAGCCATATTCTCTATCCATCTCTGTCTCACGACACAATGACGTCAGAGGAGAAACAACCAACCACAGACACAGAAGTAGCCAACACCCGACGTAATGATGTCACAAATGTCACAACCAACAATACTGAAATGTTATTGGTAAACAACGAACTGATTATGACGTCAGGATACCCACGCTACAACATGTTGACCATTAAAACTAACAATTGAATATGACGTCATACGTCATGGCCAATAATAAAGGACTCTCATTCCTCAACATCTACTGGACGGTGACGTCAGCAGCCTTGGCTAAAAATACAGCATGGTGATTGGTAAACAGTGATGACATCAGCAAATCCATACAAGAATATAGGTACGTTATCAACTAAACTTTTAGTATCACCCATAAGGAACTAATACACGACTATAACCAACTTAAAAACGTACACTTTATATTAAGTTGTAAAGTGTACTGTACTTATGATGCAAAACTGACGACTGTAGAAGCATGCAAGTGGGTAACCTGACAGTCCTTGAGGGACAGGCAAGGTAGATACACCACACTGTATGCTAAGCCTTCAGTTCACAGTGAGACAACATGGTGGGCACTGCACTCGACAGCTTCACTTCCTCAACTGTAAAGTCTGGCACACCTATTAACACCTGAGTGAACTGAGAGTGCCACGAGCTGTATCCATCCAACCACGGCACCCGTAACGTAGGTAGTAGGTATTAGGGAGCTACCAAACAGGGAGGTACTACCGCCTGGGAAGATATTGGAAGCATAATGTGTTGTCTATGGTAGATCTTGCTGCCACATGGCATCACGAAAATTGTGACCAACTCCCAGGTTGCTGATCTGACTTTCTGCCTCATTTACACACAATTGCAGGGTCTCAATTGTTTCTCTTACTATTGACAACACAACATACATATATTGTTCCTCACTTTTGACTTTTTTTTTCATTTTGTATTTCTTTATTATTATTATTATTATTATTATTATTATTATTATTATTATTATTATTATTATTATTATTATTATTATTATTATCATTATCATTATCATTATCATCATCATTATTATTATTATTATTATTATTATTATTATTATTATTATTATTATTATTATTATTATTACATTTTCGCCCCCCAGGCACCGATGTGGGTCAGTAACCTGTGCCTGGGTGGGCTAATTCCCGTAAAAAAAAAAATAAAAAAAAAGCACACGCAGAACACACACACACACAAAAAAAATATCCAGTTATATTATAATCACCAAGAATTATTATCATCCAAATAACTGTTGTGGGGTTGTAGGTCGAGGGGTACAAGGTAGGACCCCCGGCTATGAATAATAAGTGTATGGTAATAAGGGTCAAGAGGCACTCAAACTTTAATAGAGGTTCAGTAATGGCGTGACACCAGACTCCAGGACCAACAACATAACTCTATATTTTATCTCCATCACAACACTCAGGTTATAGTGATGGTTATGGCGCCTCTGGTCGTGTTTATATTGATTGTATAGTTATGAAATTTATATATTGGAGTAAGATGGATTTGTATTTACGTGAAATGAATTTATATTAACTGAGGATAAATTTACAGTTATTAGACCATAATTTAAATTAACTTATAGATAAAGTTAAAATATTAAAAAATAAATAAAATCAACAACAACAACAACAACCACAGCAAAATCATCCACAGCAACCACCACCACAACCACCACAACACCAACAAAACGAAACTCTAACCCATCCCCTATAACAAAATCACCATCAATCACCTGTTCAATAATCTACCTCGAGTTCCATTATAGAGGATTATATAACACTAAGAAACCTAGGAAAAAATGAAAGGAGTTTAACACCATCCTGAGAATCGAGGATCTTGTGTGATGACGTGTCGCGTAATACTTGATTTGGCTCAGTCACTCCTTAGATGATTGAGTAGAAATCATCGACGTGTGGAAAAAGGGTGAAGTTTGTCCCCTGAGTACGATACCTACCATCAGAGTACAAGAATATGTGTTTGTGGTGCTTTTTGATGTTTTAAAACTTTTTGAGTACTTGAGTAGACTTATTCACCTTTAAATAAATAACTTTACCACACACATCAACAAGGAAATCAAAGACTTTCCGAAGTACTCAAGGCGGCGACGATAAATGAGTTATTTTGTAATTTTAATCTTTATAGATCACTTGAAGATTAGCCCCCCTTGAAGATTCACCTCATAACCAGCCTGAAGTTTACCCACCCCGAATACTGACGGTGGAGACAATTTGGTAGTAGTTAGTTAGTTAGTGTTATATTGCTTTAACTATTTCAGGGCAAGAATGTGAATCCCTTAATACACAGACACCAAACCTGACTGACAGACGGACAGACAGACACCGCATGACCTGACAGACGAACTTAGATTCATAATAGTTCCTCCACTTTCTGATGAGGCATAATAAGACTCAACTATAAGCCTTAAGATAACTCCCTCAGCTGGAACTTTTTGACCTGATCTTCTAAATGGCTATCAGGCAAGTTGGTCCCTCCCCTTAATTAAGCTTCACACACTACAGTTAATTAAGTTTTTTAGAGGCAGATAATTAGAACTTAACAGCTGATTAGCCCGAGCGACCTGACCCTTCCTCCTCCTGCCTGTGTGCTGGAGGTGTGTCTCAGGGGATGTGCTGTAACGAGGGGATGTGCAGCAGTGAGAAGACAACGGGTTAAGTATTCGCTACGCTATTAGCGTCAGTGAATTGAATTTGACCCATCGATCTCTGCAGGGAGTTTATTTAGTCCACCTTTTCAACATTTTCGTATTGTGTGGCCAGGTGTTACTGTGGGCAGGCGGTACTGTGGGCAGCCGGTACTGTGTGGCGAGGCGGTACTGTGTGGCGAGGCGGTACTGTGACCAGACGGTACTGTGGCCAGGCGGTACTGTGGCCAGGCGGTACTGTGGGCAGGCGGTACTGTGGGCAGGCAGTACTGTGTGGCCAGGCGGTACTGTGACCAGGCGATACTTTGGGCAGGCGGTACTGTGGCCAGGCGGTACTGTGGCCAGGCGGTACAGTGGCCAGGCGGTACTGTGGCCAGGCGGTACTGTGGCCACCTCTGAACATAAGCTGTGTGGATAGGTAGAGGCTGTTGTCATCATCATTTCTTCCTGGTATAGTTATAGAGCTCCAGTGACTGAACACCTTCTGAGGATATAAGAATCACGGTAAATAATATACCAAAACACCACCATACCACTATACCACGGCGAGGGCAAATACCATACCACCATACCACGCTAGGGCAAATACCATACCACCATACCACACTAAAGAAACTCCCCCCAATCCTTCTCTTCAAAATGATACAAATTACACATAAAACGAAAATACTATCATCCCCTCAACGCTACTCAACTCAAACCTAACCTAACCTAACCTAACCTAACCTAACCTAACCTAACCTAACCTAACCTAACCCATCAAAGAGACAAAAAACAACACAAATCACTTTAATAAAATAATTGATCCACTTTTACTCCATTAATAAATCAATATCAATCAAAATACTGACCTCATTATCTCTCTGGGAAAATATACACAGCAATGAAGGCATAAATTATCTTCACAAATATATACAGTACAGTGGGGTTTTTTTTTCCGGTACACGACAGCGGTGTTGTAACTGCCCTCAGGTGTTCATTAACTAATTAAGCGTCATTAATATATATCTCGTAATATTTGTGTGCTAAAGGTGTCTGTAGACCAAATTAACGTGCAAATCTGTTTAATGTTCAGAAACCACTTAATATGGGACCCACTTAACAGAGGACCCACTTAACACAGGACCCACTTAACAGAGGACTCACTTAACAGAGCGTCCACTTAACACAGGACCCACTTAACACAGGACCCACTTAACACAGGACCCATAACAGAGGACTCACTTAACAGAGCGTCCACTTAACACAGGACCCACTTAACAGAGGACCCCTCTAACAGAGGACCCACTTAACACAGGACCCACTAAACACAGGACCCACTTAACAGAGGGACCCACACTTAACACAGGACCCACTTAACACAGGACCCACTTAACACAGGACCCACTTAACACAGGACCCACTTAACACAGGACCCACTTGACACAGGACCCACTTAACACAGGACCCACTTAACACAGGACCCACTTAACACAGGACCCACTTAACACAGGACCCACTTAACACAGGACCCACTTAACACAGGACCTACTCCACTTAGGACTTCACTTACCTCTAGTAAGCACGTCGCCTCTCCCTCACCAAGGAGTTTCCCTCACACATGCTGCTCACTTGAAACTACCCTCCACATCCTCACCTGAAGACGAGGAAAAAAACAGAGGTCATACAGCCATCTACATCCCAAGCTTAGGAAATAATGCTTAAATTTTAGATACATTCTCAGCTAAGGAAATAATGCTTAAATTTTAGTGATGTCAGCACACACCCTGAAGACGACACCCCCAACATACTCTAACACACCCCGACGTACATTAACACACCCTGAGACCTTAAACACACCTTGAAGCCACACACATCAAAAGACTTCAGCTATTGTTCTCTGGTTCTTGAACACACACACACACACACACACACACACACACACACACACACACACACACACACACACACACCTCCGTCAAAGGCAAAATAGTACTCAGGTTGTCTTTGTTTCTTGGAGGCTCAGGACATGGTATATAAGGAGACCTAGGAGACACCGTTAACCCTATACCTGGAATTCCTTGGAGACCAGAAGAAAACAGATTTGGAGAATTATCCTCTATTTTTTTTTGTAAGGCTCTTGGAGATTAAATGACCGGAGACCATGAGAATATGTCATTGGTCTTCTCTTTTGATTCCCTGGAGACTGAAGAGAGGTCATATGAGATGGTCTCCTGAGGAAAGAGACGCTCCCTGAGAAAAATTTTGCTACGGACACGAACAAGGACAACACGGTCCCAGGGGTGTGAGAGGACGCATTGTTTTGATGATGCCGACCAGAGTACAATAGGGGTAAGAATTTTTCAAAGGTGGATTTCCCAGTGTGTGTTGACGAGCTGAATCTGCAAGGTGTTTTGTGGATGTGTGTGTGTGTGTGTGTGTGTGTGTGTGTGTGTGTGTGTGTGTGTGTGTGTGTTGTGTGTGTGTGTGTGTGTACATCCTCTATCAAGAACTACATAACATAACCTGATTCTCGTCCCCACAGCTCAAGGAAACACTTAACATCAGTCATATGTTTACGGAGGGAAATAAAATTTTTATGTGTAACAAATGTATAATGTTTACACTTTAAAGTTATCCAACAATTTATTGAAACAAATGTTGTCTTTTATGTTTACTGGTGATATTTACTGAGATAATAACGATGATATTTATGTAAAATAAAATTTAATTCGTTATTATTTACTTGATTTAAATAGTTTTATAAGGAAAATACTAAACTTTTGAGCTGAGAAAAAACTACTGACAAACTAAATACTTTCCTGTTATATGCTTAAATGAAATACAAAAACCTATTTTATCTTCAGAAAATATAATAATACAAAAAAAAAAATAAATAAAATCCCAAACTATTTCTATTTGACCTTTGCTGTCATAGTGTACAATATAGACACATCCGTCCCGGGGAAATACACACAAATCACCTACACATTTCTCCACCACAAAAATACACAATAAGAATCTAGCCAAAGAAAAGTTGATTCTTCAAAGGCCAGATGTTGAAGGATATATTTACGAATACTATTTTGTTTACTCTCTCTCTCTCTCTCTCTCTCTCTCTCTTTCTCTCTCACACACACACACACACACTAGCCATTTATTCGTATTCATTCAGTCTTTCTCGCCACTATCACATAACATAAACTACGCTATTCACCTTCCACAACCAAGCCACACAAATATCACAATGGTATACTACTTCCTTCACACACACACACACACACACACACACACACACACAAGCAGCATTATCCACCACCAGCGCCGAGTCCTTCCACAATACTCGACGTCATGGTATCCACTCATTCACGCACATCGCTGATTCTTGGATGTCCATTTATTTTAGTGGAAATTTTACCCCCCGTCCATCCATCTATCCATCTGGGTTTTATTCTCACCTCTCTGCCATCCATCTTTATCCATCTTTCTTATCACCATATTCGTAGCCTTTCATATGGTTTACACTTCACATATTCATCACTTCACCTTGGTTGCTTAGGTAAGGTGAGGTGAGGTGAGGTGAGGTGAAGTGAGGTAAGGTAAGGTAAGGTAAGGTAAGGTAAGGTAAGGTAAGGTTAGATTAGATTAGATTAGATTAGATTAGATTAGATTAGGTTAGGTTAGGAGAAGGAGAAGAAGATGAAGGACACACACACACACACACACACACACACACACGTAAGCTCGACCCATCTACAGTAAAGTTGATCACGAGCGGATATTGTGACGTCATCAGAGAGCTACCCACTTAGCCACCGCAGTAGACAAAACAGGATGTGAGGGATTTATTGTTGAAGTGTACGAGTCTCCCAGCCAATGAAAATAAAGATAAAGAACATACGCTACCCTGAAAGCCAATGACGATCGAGTTTTTTTTTTGGGGGGAGGGTGAATGTCAGTTTATTACAGTCGAATTAAGTGTTATACTGTCAGTCTGGGATGACAGTTCATAACCAAATCTACAAAACACGTCACCCAACCAACTTTACAAAACACGTCACTCCAACCAACTCTACAGAACACGTCACCTCAACTAACTCTACAGAACATGTCACCCCACCAACTCTACAGAACACGTCACCTCAACTAACTCTACAGAACGTCACCTCAACCAACTCTACAGAACCTTACGTCACCTCAACTAACTCTACCAGAACGTCACCTCAACCAACTCTAGAGACACGTCACCTCAACCAGCTCTACAGAACACGTCACCTCAACTAACTCTACAGAACACGTCACCTCAACCAACTCTACAGAACACGTCACCTCAACTAACTCTACAGAACACGTCACCTCAACTAACTCCTACAGAACAAAGGCCACCCCACCAACTCTACAGAACGTCACCTCAACCAACTCTGGAACACGTCACCTCAACTAACTCTACAGAACACGTCACCTCAACCAACTCTACCAAGGAACACGTCCTCAACTAACTCTACAGAACTTGGTACCCCACCAACTCTACAGAACACGTCACCTCAACCAACTCTACAGAACACACGTCACCTCCAACCAACTCTACAGAACCACACGTCACCTCAGCTAACTCTACAGAACAAGGTCACTTACCAACTCTACAAGAACACATCCACTCCAACTAACTCTACAGAACAAGGCCACCCACCAACTCTACAGAACACGTCACCTCAACTAACTCTACAGAACACGTCACCTCAACTAACTCTACAGAACACGTCACCTCAACTAACTCTACAGAACACGTCACCTCAACTAACTCTACAGAACACGTCACCCCACCAGCTCTACAGAACACGTCACCTCAACTAACTCTACAGAACACGTCACCCCACCAACTCTACAGAACAAGGTCACCCCACCAACTCTACAGAACACGTCACCTACTTAATACGTTGGGCGTGACCTTTGCATATAAATCCAGGTGGTAGTAGTTATCTGTATGTAAATGACCCCACACAAACACACACCTGGGTCTAATAGGACTTCTGGGAGCCCTTAACACGAATGACCTGACCCTCAACCTGACCCCTGACCCCCACCCCTTACACCCCCTCCCCCTGACCTCCCCCAAATGAGCTGAACTATCGTATCTGGCAAACTAGGTCAGAGTGATTAAGACAAGTCAAACTAGGTCAGAGTGATTAAGACAGTCAAAGTAGGTCAGGGTCATTAAAACAATATACCAATTTACGAGTGAGTGAGAATTTTTTTTTAAATGGATCATTTAATATAATTACACCTATAATTCAAGGACCTAGTAGGTATTGTATGTATGTATGTATGTATGTATGTATGTATGTATGTATGTATGTATGTGTGTGTGTATGTATGTATGCATGTATGTATGTATGTACGTTAGTAACAGAAAGTCGGTATACTGTATAAGCAATCTAGATATAATCGTGTGTGTGTGTGTGTGTGTGTGTATTAAAAATATCAGCAACAAAAACAGAACTGGTAAATTGCTATGAAACTTGGTACACTCATTTACACAATTACATAACAACAGGTAATATTAGCAGTAATTTGTTCTAATAATTAAGATAAATATTACGGTTACAGATGCTGTTTTGTACATTGACTACGAGAGCTGCCTGGACCTGGCATAAGACTTTGAGGAGGACTTGGTGTTGTTGGTCAGCCCGTGAGGTGAGCGGGCCACGGGTGCAGGTGAAAATCTCTCTCTCTCTCTCTCTCTCTCTCTCTCTCTCTCTCTCTCAGAATTGTTAAATGTAGGTAAATATTTTCTGTTTATATCACCAGAAAGTTTTCCTCCAACACAAACTAAACAAATACACAAAGTAAGATTAGTAAAACAAAACAAAAACAACACTTAAAATTATGTCCTTGTTTCACCGTCTGAAGGTCATACGTAATTCAGTACATAAATAATTACAACATTGCTACAGCGTGTTTGCGTATTTTTTACACTTGTAATATTTACTTTCCGGTAAAGTGAGAACTAATGTAATCTTTGATAAGTTATTCTGCTATTTAGTTTAATAATTCCCAAGGGTCATTATCCACTGAGAGCCTTTTAAGATTACAGTAGTGAAGATTATTTCATGAATGTGTGCTGTACGTCTGTGTATTTTGTTGTATATGTTTATTGTTTTGCCGGAATATAATAACAATAGAAAAAATAGTGATATTATTATTATTATTATTATTATTATTATTATTATTATTATTATTATTATCAGTAGTAGTAGTAGTAGTAGTAGTAGTATCGTTATCGTTATTATTATTATTATTATTATTATTATTATTATTATTATTATTACTATTATTATTATTATTATTACTATTATTATTATTATTATTATTATTATCATTATTAACCATAGCCCCTCTAGGAACATCATTTTTATTACATATCAAAACAAATTAACGAGTATGAACATTTTACAACCATACTAACACCAACTTTATCAAATACCCAAACAAAACTATACACAAAAGCTGATCAAAAGAAGAATCAGGTAATCAAAACAAAAATTTCCTCAGTGAATCAATGTTAAGGAATAATTACAAACATTCATAACGATGGTTTGATGAAACGGTGGAAAAAAAGAAGCATTTTTACCTGAACAAAAGAGAGCTATTAAGCCCTAATTGACGGCTGTTATCTCCTGACGACTCACATCCATCACATAACTCAGAGTAAATAAATAAATAAATAAATATCATAAAAACAATAGAGATTATCAAATGAATTAAAGTTTGTGAGTTGGTAGCCTTGATATTTGGTTGGCATGATTAGTACTAAATACTTGTTGGCTTCCTCCCTCCTTCGCCTCCTTCCCCTCCTTCCTTCCCCTCCTTCCTCTCTCCCACCTTTACTGACGTCAGGGAAGAATGAGAGGCGTGTAAAACTCTCTCTACCTCTGTATTATTTCTGGTTATATTTCTCAACTACAGACATATTTTTTGTACATGTTTTGTAGTCGGTTTCATGTACCATTCATCACTACCTTTTTCATTCGTGTTTTTTTTTCATATATTTTCTATTCTATCTCTTTCTCTCTCTCCTTTTTTTCGCTTTTAGGTGAAAATGGTTTCAATATATATTTTTCACGCCTTCACCCCTCATCCATTAACATAGTTTTCACTTTCTTTTACATTTTAACACACACACACACACACACACACAAAATAATTACCCTTTGTGATCTAGGATGGCCGGCCCTAGGGTCACCTAATCTGTCGCCAACACAACTGCCACACCCAGAGTTAATGAGCAGTATGACCCAGTGTCAAGGAATAATCTAATCATACCGGACAACTCGCCAACTGCACTGGCTAACCATTACCCCAGAACATGATCAACAAATTGATTAACATTCAGGTCCCCAATTACTGCTGGGTAGAAAGTGGCAAATGGCGGAAAGAAACTGGCCTACAATTTCACCCTGCCCGGGGACCAAACCCGGGTCCACTCTCTTGTGCTGGCTGCTACACCACACACATATTTTGTCAATTTACTTGTTCTCGCCTGGAGCCCCAAAAGTAATATTAAATGAAGAGAGAGAGAGAGACCTACCTACCTTACAAATATTCATGGCTGATAAAGATTCAACTCATTTTCAACCAATTCTTTTGTGAATATTCATCAGAATACATTTCCTTTATGTTAATAAAACACTAAAACAAAATCTACATTAAAATAGTTTTGAACGTAAGAGTACCGTGCCTCCATCTTTTCCTTTTCACAAACAAAAATAAAATATTTATTCTACTTCCATTAAAGTCCAGGAAAGTTAATTTTTTTTCTTTACACCGAGACAAAAATAAATAAAATAACTTATACCTGTATTTTCACTTTCCTGGTTTTAAATAATAACCTTTTAGATTTTATCCCCCCCCCCTTACATAAAGACTTACACAATCTGTATTCTCAAATCCACGGAAATTCAACTTTACCTTTCTAGAATTTCAACTACACTTCCACCCCAGGCAGAAAAAGTACACATGGATTATTCTATTATCATTCCATCACCATTAGTACCCTTTAAAAAACATCCCCCCCCCTCCATACCCCACCCCACCCCACATCACCCCACCCCACCCCACCCCACATCACCCTACCCCACCCCACTCCATCAGCAGTAGAAAGACACACAAGGAAAAAACAAAAACGATTCTCAAACGCACAAATAGTCACCTTTCCCTCTCTTTAATTCTAGGCATTCTTCCCTCTTTCATTTAGTAAACATTAAACTGGAGTGAATTTCTCCCTGTTACCCGATGTATGTTTTGTCCTGGTGTATTCATTCATTCATTCATTCGTTTATTCGTTCATTCATACCATTTCCTCTTTACTTAGGTTCTTCCTCTTCTATTTTCCTCTTAAGGTTTTTTTTCTTATGATTTTCTGCTCTTTCATATGAGGGAAGAGGAAGGTGAGGGAAGAGGAAGGTGAGGGAAGAGGAATGTGAGGGAAGAGGAAGGTGAAGGAAGAGGAAGGTGAGGGAAGAGGAATGTGAGGGAGGAGGAAGGTGAGGGAAGAGGAAGGTGAAGGACGAGGAAGGTGAAGGGACGGGAAGGTGAGGGAAGAGAGGAAGGGTGAGGGGAAGAGGAAGGTGAGGGAAAGGAAGGAAGGTGAGGGGAAGAGGAAGGTGAGGAAGAGGAGAGGTGAAGGGGGAAGGAAGGGTGAAAGGGAAGAGAGGGAGGTGAAGGAAGAGGAAGGTGAGAAGGAAGAGGAAGGTGAGGGGAAGAAGAGGAAGGTGAGGAAGAGGAAGGTGAGAAGAGGGAAGGTGAGAGAAAAGGGAAGGTGAGGGAAGAGAGGAAGGTGTGAGGGAAGAGGAAGGTGAAGGGAAAGAGGAAGGTGAGGGAAGAGGAAGGGTGAGAGAAGAGGGAAGGTGAGAGAAAGAGGAAGGTGGGGAGAGAAAGAGGAGAGGTGAGGGAAGAGGAAGGTGAGGGAAGAGGAAGGTGAAGGAAGAGGAAGGTGAGGGAAAAGGAAGGTGAAGGAAGAGGAAGGTGAAGGAAGAGGAAGGTGAAGGACGAGGAAGGTGAGGAAAGTAGACCCACTCACTTTCACCCCACCCAGAATTAAAACCCACCATTCTATATAAAAAAAACATATAAATAAAAACACTAGTGAGTAAATGTGTAAAAAAACCACCCCTAAAACACACATCCTGTGCCAGTTTTGCCGCTAATGCTCTCCGTTTAATATTAATAAGTTTGTTTCAGTAAATAAATTAACACTCATAAACATCTCTAAGTGGCCTGAGTGATATACACATTAACTCTTAAGTTTTAATATATATTTAAACTTTTCTGTTATATCTAAAAAAAAATGTTAAAAAACATGAGTTAGAATTAGTAATGGAGAATAAGTGTTATCCACCTGGTCTATATATATGAGTAAATAAAGTGTGTAGTGGATGGATTTACTTGATAAAAGAATAAGTAAACAGTATGGATTATTTTTTATCACAAGTTGGTGTTATCTTATCAATAATAATAATAATAATAATAATAATAATAATAATAATAATAATAATAATAATAAAAACTCTATCAAACAAGAACAACAATAATAACATAACAACAACATCAACAATAATAATAATGACAATAACAACAAAATAACTAAAATAAAAACATACAAATACAAAGATAAAAAAAACTTACGACTTTCTCAGGAACACAAAGAGATGTTAAGGGTTTTAATCCACATGCTGCTGACAATTACCCTCTTGAATATTTTAATGGTAAAATTTAAGAACTTTTTGACTTAATGCTCCCAGAAGTGAAATGAACGACCTCCGGCTCACACCCTAAATGACCAATTAAGACCTAAT